GCTCCTTTCTGCCCAAGCTACCTACTATATCTTTTCTTTTATCACTTTTGACTACCCCATTTCTGGTATCTTTTTAAAAGACAGAGGCTCGAGTTTTTCCATTATAAGAGACAGAAAACTAATAAACAGAACTGGGCCTGTGGGACATGCTTCACCCTGCAGCCCAGAAATGCATGGACTGAAGGTGACAGGAATAGTGAACTCTGACTAGAGAACTTTGCATACAATTACTAACAATATCTATGAATACTGAGTGGTCAAAACCAACAAATTCCCACTTCACTTGGTTTTTCAACTGCTAATGTTGGCTTAAGGCTGTCACCCAAACATATATGCTGGTGATTTAAATTCCTTCAGCTTCATTTTAATCTCAGACTTGCTCAGTATATTCTTTACATTGCCTTGGCCATCTACTTACATGTTCTAAAAATAATTATTCTTAAGCCTTATCATTCTTTGACTATGCATAAGTGAGACTTCCCTCGCCTTCCTGTTCCTACATGTGCAAATTTGTCTATATTAAAACCACTTTGTTTCCTTTCAGGCTCCTGTATCCTACAACCCAGCTTTCCCCTCTACAAGGGAAGCCCTCAGTTTTCACTGAGCCATCTCTTTCTTTCTTTTTTTTTTAATCAGAATTTCTTTCGCAGTCAGGGTTTGCTGGATGTGAAGTCAATGAAGTTTCAGGATTTTCTCATTCACTCTGGAAGTGCAGTATCTTTTCTCTGTGCTTGGAACCTCTTTCCTCTGTGCCTAGGAGTTTACAGACATTGGAGCATCCTAATTGAATTGGGAACATTGTTAATTTATTTTAATGGGATTCATATGTAGTTCAGCTATTATCGCTAACAAGCCCCATGCAGAAATGGCTCCAGGAACACTCCCACTACATGAAGATACTGTGAGGGTAGATGTGGAAACAATTTTTAAAGAACTTAAAGTTTGTAAACCAATAAGTGGAGATTTGTTCCAGTTTTAATGTGTAAAGTTATAAGTAGAGAACTTCAATTCTCATTGAAGTCTAGAGAAATTAGAGTTTCTTGCTCTAGAAGGAACATACTCAAGTTCAGCTAATGTATGTGCTTCTTCTGAGATGAGAATAAAGGAAAGTAGAACTTACACAAATTCTTATGTTTGCAATGTCTGTGCAGGTGAAGTCTACATTTTTGTAGTTCTGACAATTAATGTTAATGAAGAATGAGTTAATCTCTGTTATGTTTTATAGCAAGTTAGATTATTTTCATTATACAAAGAAATCATCAGCATATACATCTAACATACGTAGGAAAAGATTATTACAAGTTTTAATATTAGCTTTCTAGATTGAGTGATTGGATTTGCATAATACTTTATTAGGACGTTTCCCTTCCCAAATCAATATTAATTCCATGCCTCATCCTAAATTTTTAATGTCTTGTATTTTTCTTTTTATTATTAAATTTATTTATTTTACATCGTAACTGAAGTTTCCCCTCCTTCTTCATCTCCCATTCCTCCCCGCACCTTGACCCCACTGGCTCCTACAATCCTTCCTCCCTCACTTAAGCAGGATTTCCAAAACTTTACCTAATGCTTGGCTGTGGGTCTCTGCATTTTTTTTCTGTCAGTTACATGATGAAGGCTCTCTGATGACCAATGGGGTAGCTACCAGTCTATGAGTAGTATAGCAGAATATTCTTAGGTATCATTACACTGACATTTTGTTTTTCTCAAATTGTGTTTGGTTCTATCCCAGGTCACCGGTCCATCTAGCATCTGGGTCCTGACACTCCAGGCAGTGTCAAGGGTGGGCTCACTCTTGTATGATTCTGTGGCTGAAACAGTCATTGATTGGCCAATCCTGCAATCTCTGTGTTCCCTTTACCCCTCCTCACATACCATAGGCAGGACATACTGTAAATCAAAGGTTGTGTGGCTGGGTTGGTGTCCCAATCCCTCCACTGGACATCTTGCCTGGTCACAGGTGATGGTCAGTTCAGGCTACATATTCATTATTGCTAGAAATCTTGGCTGGGGTCCCTTAAATTCCTGGGAGTTTCCCTTGGACTAGGTTTCTACCTGACCCTGAATTGCCACCCCCATTTCTAATTATGTCTTTCAGCATTCTCCCTCTCCATTCACCCCCACCCCGATCCCTCAAATTCCCATTTCCACCCACCCCCTGTCCACTCATGAGCTCTCTTCTGCCCTTGGGTCCTCCTTGTTACCTAGCCTTCTCCCTGGGTCTGTGGATTATAGCATGATTATCCTTTACTTTATAGCTAACATTCACTTATAAGTGAGTACATACCATGTTTGTCTTTCTGGGTCTGAGTTACCTCATCCAGGATGATTTTTTTCTAGTTCTATACATTTGTCTTCAAATTTCATGATGTAATTGTTTTAACACCTGAGTAATATTCTTCTCTCCCAATTATACGTGCTTCATTTTCTCACAAAACCTGCATTCTTGGCTGTGTTCTGGAAGTGTGTGTGTGTGTGTGTGTGTGTGTTTACATGTTTATTATCTAATGACTAACTACTTTTCTCCAACCAACTAGTGCCAAATTTCTGGAAAGACTATTTTAGCTTGGTATACATACTTTCCAAATATTTCTGAACCCTATATATCCGGATTCTACTTTATTTGCCACTAAACCTGAAACTGTGACTCTCAGCTTAGCTCCTTTCAGTCCTTCCCCATCTGACCCATGTTCAGCCTGTGCTAGTCTCTCCTTTCTCTTCTTAGGCCCTGCTTTATCTTTGGGGTCACTACCTCCTCATAACTATTTGCCCACCTCTCTGGAGCACTTTTTGTTTGTTCCTGGGAAACTTATCTTTGGTATATAGATTTAAAATCTTGATAACCCTATAACAAATTACCACTAACTTGGTGGCTTAAAACAAGACAATTAAAAAACAGTTGTTTTTACTGTGTGTGTGTGTGTGTGTGTGTGTGTGTGTGTGTGTGTGTGTGTGTGTATGCTCCATGTGCACAAGGAGGCCAGGAGAGGGCAATGGATTCTCCAGAGTTGTAAGCCATCTAATGTGTGTGCTAGGAACTTAACTCTGGTTTTCTGTAGAGCAACAAGTGCACTTAGCTACTAGACCATCTCCCCATTCCCAAGACAAATTTTATTTTATAGTTTTGAATGGTAGAAGTTTGACATGGGTCATCCTGGATGAGAATAAAGGTATTGGAAGAGCTTTATTTTTCTGGAGATTCTAAGAGAAATATTTGTGCTTTCCAGCTTCTAGAGGCCAAGATGGCTTGTGGCTCCCTTCTCCATCTTCAATGCCAGCAGTGTAGTATCACAACCTCTCTCTGACTCTAACACCTCTGCTGTCCTCTTTGCTTACTAAGATACCTATCCTTAACACCAACCTTTCCAACCCAGAGTTCTTGAGTTACTAATGCCTGCAGAGTCTTGTTTTCAGTATAAGGTTAACATGGTCTTAGATCTTACAGTGACGTCGCAGATACATTTAAGGGGCTATTTCATGGACAGTGCCATTTCTTTTGCTCTTTGTTCTGTATTCATATTTTAGCATTTCATTACAGTATTTAGTCTTAACTTCCATTAATGCAGTGATAAGACCCACATTTGTATATATACACATTTCTAGCACAGAAAACTATGGCTCACTATATCTGCATTTGGACTAAAATACAAATCTACATTAAACAATCATTCCTAATTGTTTTCTTTTTTGTATTTATTTATTTTTATTTTTTATTTAAGTTATAAACAAGCTTATTTCACATGTCAATCCCAGCTCCCTCTCCCTCCCCTCTTCCCATTCCTACTTTTTATACAAACCCAATACCCACATTAATGCACTAATGCAATCCTACATTTTTACATTTATTCCCCATTTTTATTTGAAGTGTTCTCCTCATTAGTTGTTTCGGCAACTTGGTGTAGTTAGAGTCATCTGTGAAAATGGAACTGCAATGGAGAAAATTTCCCCACGAGCTTCGTCTCTGAGCAAGCCTGTGGGACATTTTCTTGATTACTGACTTACGCAGAAGGCACCAGCCCATTTTAGTTGGTGTTAACCTTGAACCGTGTAAGTCAGCAGGCTGAGGAAGCCATGAAGAGAAAGTCAGTAAGCCACTCCTCCACGTCGGTTGTTTTAGTTCTATCTTCAGGTTCCTGTCCTGCTTAATTAAGTTCGTGCCATGACTTCCCTCACTGGTGAACTGTTTGTTACATGGCAGTATAAGATAAAATAAACCCCATCTGCCCCACATTGCCTTTGGCCATGGTGTTTTATCACAGCAATAGAGACCTAATCAAGACAGACATTTGTACCATGTTCATGGGATATTGCCCTGGCAGACCTTACCATGTTGTTATGGGAGGATTATAGATAGGTTTTAAATTTAGGACTTGAAAAGCTGTTTAGTGATCTGAAACAATGGGCTATTCCGTGGGTGCTTAGGAGATAAAAATGTGGAGAGCAATGTAGATTATGGAGGTCTGGCTTGTGACATTTCAGAGGGAAATAAAAATTCTACCAAGGTGTTTCATGGCCATTTTTGTATTAAGACTCTGTGGTTCTAGTTAGTAGGCACAAAGAATCAGCTATGATTAAAAAGTGACTGGAACCATTTAACCTAAAATCTTTGCTTTATTGGAGCGATGGATATGGGTCAGTTGAAGCTGAGAAATTAAGATTAAATATGAAGAGATTAGCAACATTGACATGAAATGTCCTGGGAGTATTTCTTTAGGGTCAGCACATGGAAGCTGTAGCCCAGAAGGGACTAAAGCTGTGTCTTGTGCTGGCAGCTGAACTTGGTAATATGTAACAGTCACCCAGGTGATGCTGGTTTGAAAGGCACGAAGGGGTTACAGAGAGCAGCTGAACCCTGGCACTGTGTGGCGGGGCTGGGGTTCCCAAAGAAAGGTCTTTAGAGCCATTGGTGAGGGTTCAGCCTCATTTTCATTGGCCACCCCAGCATATTTGTGATACCAGAAACATGGGACAACCACCAAGGACAGCAGCAGCTGTGCAGTTGAGCCAGCCTGAGCTGATGAGATAATTGTGTGTGCTGGGGGCAGAAGAGCTGGGGGAATGGAGCTCTTTGGAGACAGAATGACCGTGAGTCCCAGATCTAAGACAGAGCTGAACTTTTCACACTGTTGGACTTTGATATGATTGTTACTGCACCCTGACTCTTCCTTTTTGAAATAAGAAATGATTTAGCCTATTTTTGATTTTTACAAGAGCCCACAGTTAAGAGATTTGGAATTTTAGAGTCACTTATGGAAATTTAAAGAGATTTGGAATTTTTAAAGAGACTTTAGATATTTTAGACTGACTTTGGATGTTTTAGAGAAACCTTAGATATTTTAGACATCCTTTGTAATTTTAAAGCACCTCTGTGGATGTTTTAAAGAGACTGAACTTCTAAAGTTTTGGGATTTCCAAAGCCTCAAAAATTTAAAGTTTGGAATATGGTTTATATTGAGATATTGGTATTAATATGAGATCTTAGAGATGAACAAGAAAGGAAAGGTTGTGGTTTAATAGTAATGCATTGGTGAATCAAACTGAAAAGATATTAACTGTCTTAGAATCATTTGTGAAAAGGGAACCTCAATAGAGAAAATGTCCCCACAAGACTGGTCTGTGAGTAAGTTGGAGGGACATTTCTTTTTTTCTTTTGTATGGGCAAGAAGTCTTGAGTTGTCTAAGAAAGCAGGCTTACTGAGTCATGGGGAGCAAACCAGCAAGCAGCTCTCCTCCATGGCCTCTGCTTTCTGCCCTCAGGTTCCTGCCCTGACTTCCCTCAATGCTAGACTGTTACCTGGCAGTGTGAGATGAACCAAATGCTTTTCTCATCAAGCAACAGAAATTCATAACTATGACAAAAATATTTCAATTAGTTTTTAAAATTACAAAATTATGCTTCTTTCTTGGTGTTGTAGTATAATAATATCTGTCCTGTTGGTTCTAAATTATGTCAATTATAATTTTATTTCTTCTCGTTCTTTTCTCCATTTCCTGTATTTCAATTTTATTTTCTTAATTTGACTTCTGTAATAGACATTAGTCCTACCATCTATAATTGTACTCTCCACATAATTGCCTATATGATCAATTTTACAAGGGAACCTAATCTTATAGATGTTAAATATTTAACAAGGATACTCAATCTATTAAATATGTTAAATACCCATCATAAAATAATTTATAATTATTGGTAGCACCTATTGAAGGGTTCGTTTGTAGTTCAAAGAATTATTGAAAGGAGGTGACATTTTAAAGAGATGGGGACCCTAGAGTGTTTTAGGTATATCAGAATGCCCTTTAAGCAGACTGTGGGTGCTTTGTGTCTTTCTCTTTGTCTTTGTGTGTCTATTGCTGTGAAGTGACACCATGACCATGACAACACTTATAAATGAAAACATTTAATTAAGATGGCTTGTTTACAGTTCAGAGTTTCAACCTAGTATGATCATGGTGGGACATGGTGGTGTGCAACCAGACATGGTGCTGGAGAATTAGCTGAGAATCCTATATCTTTCAGGCAACAGAAAGTGAACTGAAAAACTAGGTGATATCTTGAGCATATGTGAAACCTCAAATCTTGCCTCCACAGTGACAGACTTCCTCCAACAAGACCACACCTCCTCCAACAAGGTCACATCCCCTGTTTTCAGGATTACAGCTCTATATTACATGCCTCCACATGTTGCTTTGTTGAGTAAGGTTGTTTGGCTATCCTGGGTCTTTTGTTTTTCCATACAAAATTGATTATTGTTCTTTCAAGGTCTGTGAAGAATTGTGCTGGGATTTTAATGGGAATTGCATTGAATCTGTAGATTGCTTTTGGCAGGATTGCCATTTTTACTACATTGATCCTACTTATCCAAGAGCATGGGAGATCTTTCCATTTTCTGATGTCTTCTTTAATTTCGTTCTTTAAAGACTCAAAATTCTTGCAATACAGGTCTTTCACTTGTTTGGTTAGCATTACCCCAAGGTATTTTATGTTGTTTGTGGCAATTGTATAGGGTGATGTTTCTCTGATTTCTTTCTCAGCCCTTTATCATCTGTATATAGTAGGGCTACTGATTTTTCTTGAGTTGATCTTGTAGCCTGCCACTTTGCTGAAGGTGTTAATCAGATGTAAGAGTTCCCTGGTAGAGTTCTTTTGGTCATTTATGTAAACTATCATATCATCTGCAAATAGTGAAAGTTTGACCTCTTCCTTTCCAATTTGTATCCCCTTGATCTCCTTTTGTTGTCGTATGGCTTTGGCTAGAACTTCAAGTACAATATTGAAAAGGTATGGAGAGAGTAGACAGCCTTATTTTGTTCCTGATTTTAGAGGAATTGCGTTGATTTTCTGACCATTTAGTTTGGTTTGCTGTATATAGCTTTTATTATGTTTAGGTATGTTCCTGTTATCCCAGATCTCTCCAAGACCTTTATCATGAAGGGGTGTTGGATTTTGTCAAAGGCTTTTTTCTGCATTTAGTGAGATGATCATGTGATTTTTGTATTTCAGCTTGTTTATATGGTGGATTACATTGATGGATTTTCATATGATGAACCATCCCTGCATCCCTGGGATGAAACCTACTTGATCGTGGTGAATGATTGTTTTAATGTGTTCTTGGATCCGATTTGCCAGTATTATATTGAGTATTTTTGCATCAATGTTCATGAGGGATATTGGTCTGAAGTTCTCTTTCTTAGTTGTGTCTTTGTGTGGCTTGGGGATCAAGGTTATTGAAGCCTCGTAGAAAGAGTTTGACAAAGACCCTTCTGCTTCTATTACGTGGAATACTTTGAGAATTGGTATAAGCTGTTCCTTGAATTTCTGGTAGAATTCTGCACTGAGGCCATCTGGACTTGGGCTTTTTTTGGTTGGGAGACTTTTGATGTCTGCTTCTATTTCCATAGGGGTTATAGGTCTATTTAAATTGCTCATCTGTTCTTGATTTAATCTTGGCAAGTGATAGCTATCCAGGAAGTCGTCCATTTCCTTTAAATTTTCGATTTTGTCCAGTATAGGTTCTCTGAATTTCCTCTGAGTCCATTGTTATGTCCCCCTTTTCATTTCTGATTTTGGAAATTAGCATGTTCACACTGCTGTTTGGTAAGTTTGGACAAAGGTTTGTCCATCTTGTTGATTTTTCTCAAAGAACCAACTCTTCGTTGCATTGATTCTTTGTATTGTTTTCCTAGTTTCTACCTTATTGATTTCAGCCCTCAATTTGATTATTTCCTGGTGTCTACTCCTCCTGGGGGAGTTTGCTTCTTTGTGTCTTTGAGCTTTCAGCTGTGCTGTTAATTCTCTAGTATAACTATTCTCCAGTTTCTTCATGTGGGCACTTAGTGCTTTGAACTTCCCCCATAGCACTGCTTTCAAAGTGTCCCATAGGTTTGGATATGTTGTGTCTTCATTCTCATTGAATTCTAGGAAGTCTCTAATTTCTTTTTTTATTTCTTCTTTGACCCACGAATGGTGCAATAGTGTATTATTCAATTTCCACGAGTTTGTAGGTTTTCTGCAATTTGTGTTGTTGTTGAATTCTAATTTTAAAGCATGGTGGTCTGATAAGATGCATGGAGTTATTCCAATTTTTTTGTAGCTGCTGAGGTTTGGATAGCTGCCAAGTATGTGGTCTATTTTTGAGAAGATTCCATGTGGTGGTGAGAAGAAGGTCTATTCTTTTTTTTGTGTGGATGGAATGTTCTATAGATGTTTGTTAATCCCAGTTGGGTCATTACTTCTGTTAGACCCTTTGATTCTTTGTTGAGTTTCTGTCTGGTATTCCTGTCTAGTGTTGAGAGTGTGATGTTGAAATCTCCCACTATAAGTGTGTGGGGCTTTATATGTGATTTAAGTTTTAGTAATGTTTCTTGTAGGAATGTGGATGCCTTTGTATATGGGGCATAGATGTTCAGAATTGAAATTTCATTTTGGTGGATTTCACCTGTTCTGAGTATGTAATGACCTCCTTCATGTCTTGTGATTGATTTTATTTTATAGTCTAATTTGTTAGATATTAGGATTGCTACTCCTGCTTGTTTCTTGGGTCCATTTGATTGGAAAATCTTTTCCCAACCTTTAACTCTCAGGTAATGTCTGTCCTTGAGGGTGAAATATGTTTCTTGTATGCAGCAGAAGGATGGGTTCTGTTTTCAAATCTATTCCGTTAGCCTGTGTCTTTTTATGGGTGAGTTAAGGCCATTAATATTGAGGGATATTAATGACCATTGGTTGCTCATTCTTCTTTAATTTTGAATGGTTGTTGTTGTTGTTGGAATTATGTGTAGAATTCCACCCCTTTTTTCTTTTGGCTGTTGGTAATGTGGGATTATATAATGCCTATGATTTCCTAGTTGTAGTTAACTTCCTTGGGTTGGAGTTTTTGTTCCAGAACTTTCTGTAGGGCTGGGTTAGTGGATATGTATTGCTCGAATCTAGTTTTGTCATGGAATATCTTGTTTTCTCCATCTATAGTGATTGAGAGTTTTGCCAGGTATAGTAGTCTGGGCTGGCATCCATGGTCTCTTAGTGTTGGTAGAATATCTATCCAGGACCTTCTGGCTTTCAGAGTTTCCATGGAGAAGTCAGGTGTAATTCTGATAGGTTTGCCTTTATATGTTATTTGGCCTTTTCCTTAGCTGCTCTTAATATTCTTTCTTTATTCTGTATATTTGGGGTCTTGATTGTTATGAGGCGAGGGACTTTTTGTGATCCACTCTATTTGGTGTTCTGTAAGCTTCTTGGACCTTCATTGGCATGTCTTTCTTTAGGTTGGGAAAGTTCTGTTCTATGATTTTGTTGAATATGTTTTCTGCCCCTTTGAGGTGGTTTTCTTCACCTTCTTTTATACCTATTATTCTTAGGTTTGGTCTTTTCATGGTGTCCCATATTTCCTGGATGTTTTGTGTTAGGGATATGTTGGACTTAAGATTTTCTTTGGTTGATGAATCCATTTCTCCTAGCGTATCTTCAACACCTGAGATTTTCTCTTCCATCTCTTGTATTCTGTTGATAATGCTTGTATCTGTAGTACCTGACCGTTTGCCCAGCTTTTCTATTTTCAGCCCTTCTTCAGATTGTGTGTGTGTGTGTG